GCAGGGCTGTCCTTCCCTCTCCAGCAGCAGAGCGCTTGGTGGTGACTCCCCGTGGGCGCTGGTGTCCCCACATCCACATCCTCCTCACCCCATCAGGTCCGGCTCCTCCTTCACTGCCCCCCCTCGGCCACGGGATGATTCCAGGTTTGCGCCCCTCCCCCTCCCCCCCTGAGGAAGCGACAATCGGTCTCTGCGCGGCCAGCCCCGAGGCCAGGGCTGCACCCAGTCTCCGCGGCGGAGAAAGGCTGCGCTTCAGCCCCAATGAAAGCCGCCTTCACCTCCCGGCCCGCGGCTCAGGAGGCTCCGGCCCAGGCTCCAGGGCCAATTAGGCTGTTTGCGTTGACGTCAAGTCTGGGCCAGTATTTATGACCCGCCACGCGGCAGGAGGCAGCAGGTCCCAGAGCAAGACGCGGGCCGTGACAGGGCAGGAGCCACCGCGGGGCTGGCATGGCCCAGGGCTCCCCGAGGGCATGGCGAGCCGTGACCCCGCAGGGCAGAGCCCATCTGCAGGCGCCCACCCAGGCCCCAGCCACGAGGCCGTCTCCCGAGGGCCTGGTCGAGGAGTGGACTCAGACCCAGCTCCGAGGTCACCGAGGACCCGCCCGGGGCCTGGCCACCGGGGGCCTCTGCACACACCCCTCAGCCCCTGCTGTGTGCCTGGGGACATGTGGCCTCCTGCGCTGGCCCTGCGCACAGCAGCACGGGTCCCTCTGGACTCAGTGACAATCGTCACAGGATATGCGTGTTCTAAGCCGTTTTCTAGGTGTCACCTTGTGTGAGACCAAGTGCCTGTGGGGGGAAAGGGGCTTTGCACACAGTGTCCCTGGATCTGTCCAGGCACAGCCCATGGTCAGGAGCCAAGAGCACCAGGTTACCATTGTCCACCAACAGGGGCCGTTCTCTACGGAGAACGAGGTGGTCACACTGGGCCCAGGGCCATCTTAGGCACATTAGAAGTCACCATGCAGGAGCCAGGATGCCTAGTCCTGCAGCGAGTATCGAGAGAAAGATGACCCCCAGGCCAGGCTCACTACAGGGAGCCAGGCACCCTGGCAGAGTAGGTAACCTGCCCAACAGTACCTGGCAACCCTGGTCCAAAGGGAAGCACAGAGTAGCTGTTAATTAGGGCTCCTGCCCCCGAGTCTCTGCCGCTCTGGCTCAACCCCACTGCCTGCCTGGCACAGAAGGGTCAGCCCTGGGCCCAGAAGGCCCTGCACAGATGGGAAGGCCCCCAGCTGGCCCCTGAGGGCACGCGTGGGTGGGGGGTGGGTGGGGTGACTTCCCGCCAGCCGGGCTCCCTGGCTCCCTGACCACATTTCCCACCCCTTCTCCCGAGGCTGGCTCCGGGTCTCACGGTCTGGATCCGCTGTTGTGAATGGAGGAAACCCGAGAACCAGCGGGGATGCCAGGCAGCGCAGGGGACGGTCCCCGGGGACGGCAAGCAGCCCCCAGGACAGACGGACGGGGCCAGGTGGGGAAGGCCGGCGCCAGGCCCAGCCCTGGCCTTGCTTTCTGGGCTTTGTGCCATCGACTCCAGGTCGGACCACCCAGGAGAAGACCCTGCCCTGGGTACCTGGCCGTGGCCTCCTCTGGGAAGGGCCTCCGGATGCCCAGGAGCCACCCCCCAGGCTCTGCCCGCTACCGAGGACCCCGGCATTCCTGTGTTCAGAGACGTGACTGCCCACGGGTCGGGCCTGGGGACAGCGGGGGACATCACGCGGGCCAGGGGGCCGGTGGGGAGGGCGGCCCTGGGCCACGCTGACCGTGCGGAGCCGTGGCCTGCCCCGGGACTCCTCCTAGGGGCCAGCGCCCGACATCGCGTGACTGTGGTTCACCCTGCGGCCACTCTGGGAAGGCCGTTCCTGCCCGTGTGACAGATGAGGACAGGGCAGCTGGCAGAGGAGCGGCCAGCGAGGGCCTGGGTCCCGCGGACCCTGCCGCGGGTGCACCGTGGGCTTCTGACAGCCACGCCTCCCACCAACAGGATCTGGCTGCCCCGTGTGGGGGGCCTGCTTCCTGCCCGGGGGTGCCGCTGCAGCTGTGAACCCCGGGGAGCCAGGAGCGCCCCAGGACTCTTGCCCGCAGGAGCCAAGGACAGTGACTCCCACCAAAGGGACAGGATGAGGGTGAACGGGGCTCAAGCAGGACGGGGGCGGGGCGCTCAGCAAGGTTTGGTGTTCAATCAGTGCACTTACACAGTGAGTGGGTCTCACTTCTCGAGGCTGGCTTTGAACTTGCAGTCCTCCCACCTCAGCCTCCCTCCTGAGGTCGAGGACACAGGCGTGGCACTGTGTGGCTGAATCTCACAGTCCTAGTGCGGGTTTGGTGGCTTCAGTGGACTCACAGCTGTGCGCGGCCATTCCTGCCTGTCAGGACCTGGGCCCGCCGGGCTCTCTCTCCTCCCTCCAGGCCCAGCTGACCGGACCCTGCACCTCACGGGGACACATGGGTCCTTCCAGAGTGGCTGCCTGGTGCTGTCCCTCCCTGTGGCTGGTGGCATCTGGGGAAAGACGCACCCTGCTCAGCCACCGGGGCAGCTGGCCTTGGGCACGCTACCCTCGGCGGGCGTGGAGGCCACCGGTGGGGGCACCTGCCCATGAGCCTCCTGTGAGTGTGCTCCGGTGGCCCTGGGTGGACACGGGGCCTGGCCTTGCTGCAGGGCTGTCCTTCCCTCTCCAGCAGCAGAGCGCTTGGTGGTGACTCCCCGTGGGCGCTGGTGTCCCCACATCCACATCCTCCTCACCCCATCACCAGGCGCCCGCTGCTCTCCACCTGGACTTCCCAGCAGGCTCCACCCCTGGGCACACGAGATGTTCCAGGGGCTCACTCCAGACCATGGCCTGCAGGACACAGGCCTGACCCTGGGGCTCGGGGCTGCAGCTCATCAAACCCCGGGGAAGGGGCGGCTGTCCCGGGGGCCGGGCCTCCCTCTCAGGTGGGCCTCCCTCACAGGCGGGCCTTCCTCACAGGCGTGCCTCCCTGGCAGGCGGGCCTCCCTGGCAGGCGGGCCTCCCTGGCAGGCGGGCCCTGGGGGCTCGGCCTTGAGTTCTGCAGATGCTGGGCGCTGGGGAAGGGCGGCCCCGCAGGGTGGGTGTCCTGGGTTTGCAGATTCTCGTGGGCTGCTTCTGATTACTCAGGACACAGCCCTGGGCTGGACGGGGTCCTCACTGTGGCTGCCCTGGCGGGGGCCTGGTCCTCAGGTGGGCAGGGGTGGAGATGGCACCGCCAGCTCCCTGTGCCCACTGTGCCAACGCTGTGCAGGGAGGAGCTCGCAGCCCGGCGCCCACTGTGGAGAAGACAAAGCTTCGCAGAGCGGGGACAGCGGGTCCCCTGCAGGCGGGCAGCGGGGAGGTGGGCCTCCGCTCCTTCCAACAGAGGCGCAGGGTCGGCGGAGCCCACCTCGGGCAGCTTCCCCGATCCTCCTCCTGCCCACACCTCCGGCCAGGCCAGCGGCCCCAGGGCAGGGGCTGGACGGCAACAACACCGCCCGTGGTCACGCAGCTGCAGGGACTGCTCCATGAGGAAGGGGGGTCTGGTGTCCCGGGCAGCAGAGGGTCTGTGCCCAGGACAGCGCAGCCCAGGCAGGTCGGAGCAGGACCCGGCAGAGCCCGGGCAGCGCCTGCACCCAGCCTGGCCGACCCGTCCACCCTTGGCTTTTCCTTCCTTTCTCCCTGTGAACCAAGGCCACCGCGGGGCACCCGGGAAGCATCTCCGCCCGACCACAGGCCGTCAGGGCCGCCGCTCCCCAGTCGCTATGTTTTAATACCCGGGCAGTGGGGCAGTGGGGTCAGGGCCAGCGTGCAGGGCCACGGCTTCTCTGCCAACCCCAACCCTAGTCCCTTGGCCACAGGCTCTGTCCTCACTTGGATTCAGACGCAAGGAACTCATGTCACCGGCCCTGTGAGGCCACACAGTGTGTGGGGTCTTCCTCCAAGGTAGCCACTGTGGCCAGCCCTGCAGAGGGATGGGACCCGAGGGGCCGAGTGGCCAGACTCTGAATCAGCCAAGGTTCCAGAGGCTGCTGTGACAGGTGGACACACCCACCGAGAGGCCTACCATAGCAAGATCTCGTGGGCTCGGCTCAGGGGCGCAGGCCTGCAATCCCAACAACTCTGGAGGCTGAGGTAGGAGGATCATACATGGCTGAGGCTGGCCTCAGCAATGTTAAAAACCGGCCATGGACTGGGGCTGGGGCTGGGGCTCCATGGCAGAGCGCTTGCCTAGCACATGTGAGGCACTGGGTTCAACCCTCAGCACCACAAAAAAATAAATAAACCAGAGGTACTTGTCCACCTACAGCTAAAGGAAAAGATCTTAAAAATAAAACACAGGGGCCCTGGGGGCTGGGTGGGCTCGGCCTGCCGGCAAGGCCCCAGCTGCAAGGACAGGAGAGCAGCCCACGCCCGCTGCCCTGAGGTCCTCTACCTGGGGTCAGAAGTGGGAAGCCACCTGCTGGGCTGATGGAGGTGCCCCAGGTGGCCCCCGGTGGCTGGAGGAGAGTCACCTCAGGGCCGCAGGAAGCTCCCACAGGTGCCCACGGTCCTCGGTCCTCAGCTGCAGCCGCTGCCTCCTTCAAAGGGCCCCTGGGCCCCTCCACCCCGTGTCCCTCTTCACGTCTCCCTGACCTAAGGACCCTGTGAAGACACTGGCCCCTGGGGACCCGGGACCAGCCCCACCTCCTGACCCCGACCCAGTCACACCTCAGGGCCTCCAGCCTCCACGAGGCCCCATGTCAGCAGGTCTTCGAGCAGACAAGGACGCCCTGGGGACAGTCACGGTCGGGCAGCTCTGGAAGGCTGGGGGCCGGAGCCGGGCAGGCTGGGGACAGGGGCAGCTGCTGGCCCCGCCCACCAGGGCCTCT